GAGGGGGGTGGGAGGGGGAGAGAAAGAATCTCAAGCAGACTCACGCCCAGTGCAGAGCCCCACGTGGGGCTCCATCCCATGATCCTGAGACCATGACTTGAGCCGAAATCAAGAGTTGGTCGCTCAACGGACTGAGTGACCCAGGTGCCCCCACATGCAATTCTTACTTGAATTTCTAAAATATGTGGCTGAACCACTCTGAAGGCTCAAGTCTATCCGATTATCATGTGGGTGCATTTAAAAGAACCACGACCTTACTCTCAGATCAGAATGGACTCTGTGGTACACAGTACTAAATTTCATGGTTCAGTATAATTCTAAGGAAAGCTATGTGGCAATGAAAGAAAGCCATCTTCCAACATCTTCATTAATCAGCTTCTGTTCACTCCCAATTAGTTTTTAAGTAAAAGGGTCTGATAGATAGGCAGGGAACAGTGAAATGTCCTAGCAGTCTGGAATTTTAAGAGATGTCTTTTTTAATCAAAATAAAAAAATTATATGGGGCGCCTGGGTGGCTCAGATAGTTAAGCATCTGCCTTTGGCTCAGGTCATGATCTCCGGGCCCTGGGATCGAGTCCACGTCCGGCTCCCAGCTCAGCAGGGAGTCTGCTTCTCCCTCTCCCTCTGCCTCTCCCCCTGCTTGTACTCTCTCTGTCTTTCTCAAATAAATCTTTAAACAAATAAAAATAAAAAATAATAAAATAATAGAAGTAATACAAGGTTTGGTATAAGAAGAGAAATTAAAAGCACACAGAGTATAAAAAGAAAGGTCCCTTGTCATCTCACACTGCCCTCCCCACCCCCCATTCTCACATGTGGAACTACCCACTGTGAACAGTGTGAGTGGAGAGTCCTCCAGGTCCTCTCTTTGGTAAGTGTAAGCAGATACTGTATGCAGCAATTTACACAAACAGGGCTGTATAACATAAACGCATTCACTTACAAATGTGACGGACATTTTGCCATGTTGATATGCAGAGACTGACTTCCTCTTTTTCTCTTTAACCAGTCTTATAGTCTCACATTCTTCTCACTGTTCTATAGTTTGTTCTGCCAATCTCCTTACACTTTATTATAAGTAATCCTTACTTACACATATCCTTACACCTATCGCTTTATGGTCCCCAGACCAGATTTTCTAGATCAAGAGACAGGTAATATTTTATTTTGAAAAAATTAAAAGGACGACACTGCCCTTCAAAAAGGTTTTTCCTATTAGCTCTCCTGTTAACAGTATATGAAAATGACCATTTTGGGGTATCTTGCTGGCTCAGTCAGTAGAGCATGCGGCTCTTGGTCTCAGGGTTGTGGGTTTGAGCCTGATAGTAGATGTAGGGATTACTTAAAAAAGGGAAAAAAAAAGAAAAGAAAAGAAAAGAAAAGGTCCACTTCTTCAGATCAGGGCAAACACTGGATATTGTGAGTCTTTTTAAATCAAATACATCCAAAACCTCATTATTTTCATTTCTATTTTCTTTGATTATCAGTTAAGTTGAGGGTCTTTTTTTTTTAAATTTATTTTTGAGAGAGAGAGAGAGAGCATGAGCGGGAGGGGCAGAAGGAGAGGGAGAAGGACAGAGAATCTGAAACAAAACTCTGCACTGAGCATGGAGGAGGGTCTTTTCATATGTATTTCTTCTTTTGTGAAGTGCTCTGTATCATATGCTTTGTCCATCTTTTATTTGGTATTCACATGACTCCGTTTTTTCTTTTTCTTAAACCTCTATATCAAAAGATTAATTCTCGCACTACACTCGGAACTAGTGTTCCATTACCGGTTTCACAGGAGGTGGCTCCTTCTTGCTCACATCAATACGTGGTAAATCAGAGATTCCAAACTTTTCTTTGTAATACTGTCGAGTGAAAGGATCACAATCATAGATGAAGAAGGTTCTCCCGAGGATAGTGAGTGGTTTCCCCACAATGAAGTCTTTGGCGGTATACCATTCCAACACCTCTTGATCAGAGATCTCCAGCACACACTGAGGGAAGTTCTCTGACAGAAGATAACAGGGAGAGAAGAAAGAAAAGGAATAAGGATGGGAAGAAAGACTGACACACAGCAGCTGGGCACTCTTGAGAATTACGGTCTCTAGCTCTGGTCAAGGGTCTCCTCTACTCTCCCAGCAGAAAATAAGGTTGTGTATTTCCATCAGTTGACCGGACACAGAAATAATATCCCAGATAGTTTTTGTGAAGTCATTCTCCCTTATTCAGCTTGAACTATCAGTGCAGGTCACTAACCTTAGCAGAACTCATGCTTAGGGGAAATCATTACAGGAGGAAAGAATAAATGTCCTTCTATAGAGTACAAGATCAACGGAGGGATCTAAATCATTCAGTTCAACCTTTGACCCATTTTTTTTCATTTATTTATTTATTTATTTTTATTCTTATGTTAATCCCCATACATTACATCATTAGTTTTAGATGAAGTGTTCCATGATTCATTGTTTGTGCATAACACCCAGTGCTCCATGTAGAATGTGCCCTCCTCAATACCCACCACCAGGCTAACCCATCCTCCCACCCAACCTTTGACCCATTTATTCATTCACACAACATATTATCAATGACCACATATATCATGTACCAGGTTCACTGCTAAATACCGAGATTATAACAACAGTGTAGGTGAGATTGCTGCCTTGATGGAGAAAACAGTCTGTTTGGGACAACGGATACTAAACAATTACACAAATAATAGTTTCATTTCAATTGTGATCACTGCTAGAAGGACAGTCTGACCTAGTCTTCTGGCAGGAGGTAGGGTCAGTGAGATGATCATACTAATCTGTTTATCTGGGCACTCAACAGATTTTCAAATGTAGAATCAACCTTGCATTTTGGGAGGTATAAATCCAATTCTATCACATTGTTTTATGGGAACTAAGGATTGACTTATTTAAGACTGATTCCCTGCAGCATGGCCACCATGGAAACTGTAAGATAGTCAATTCTGGTAAAGTGCCACACTGTATAGCTGTAACCACAAAGCTTGACCCTAGAACTCTGATCACAGGGTGCCTGAGAGGCCACTATTCTCCCAACTGATAATTGATAAGATGGAAAAATAGGAAAGAAGGCTAAGGTTTTGTTACATCAGGCAGAAAGGCTTGAGCGCCAGTCCTTGATCATGCCAAAAGATCATGATTTTCCCAATCATGCATCTTAAAAGCCCTATAGACCAAGGGTTCCTTCTCCCATTGCCTAGTGCCTAACCCTACTAGACCCCTTTGAGTTACCTCAGGAAGTGATGGCCACTGGGGGACACAGTCAACAATGTTCCAGGAGACCTGGGGTGTGTATGTGTGTGGGTGCATGTGCACACGTGTGCATACACACTATACAACCATTCACCTTTTTTGCTTAACAATTATATTTTTCATATGTAGCTGGATTTCATTTACTGATATTTTATTTAAGTTTTTTGCATATATGACTGTAGTCTTACTCATGGTGTCTTTGGTTTTATTGGTCTTTTCTTAATGAATGAATTAGTTCTTTTCTATGAATCTGTATTAGGCTTATAATTAGCTGTTCTTTATTTGGCAAAACTGAAAAATTATCTAGATCTGGTGTTTTCTTTGTGGAGAATTTTTTAAGTGATTCTATTTTCTTAATGGTTAAAGACATTTGGTCTCTATTTCCTCCTGGACAAGTTAAATTTTTCTAAAACTTTGCTCATTTCACACACACAAAAAAGAGACAAACCAAAAAACAGACTCTTAACTACAGAGAACAAACGGATGGTTACCAGAAGGGAAGTCGGTAGAGGGATGGGTGAAATAGGTGAAGGGGATTAAAAGTACACGTATCTTGGGGAGGGTATGTGCTCTGGTAAGCGCTGTGAATTGTGCAAGACTGTTGAATCTCCGATCTGTACCTCTGAAACAAATAATGCAATATATGTTAAGAAAAAAAAAAAGAAGGTAGTGGGAGGGGAAGAATGAAGCAGGGGAAATCGGAGGGGTAGATGAACCATGAGAGATGATGGACTCTAAAAAACAAACTGAGGGTTCTAGAGGGGAGGGGGGTGGGAGGATGGGTTAGCCTGGTGGTGGGTATTGAGGAGGGCACATTCTGCATGGAGCACTGGGTGTTATGCACAAACAATGAATCATGGAACACTTCATCTAAAACTAATGATGTAATGTATGGGAATTAACATAAGAATAAATAAATAAATAAATAAAAGTACACATATCTTGATGAGCACTGAGTAATACATGGAAGTGTTGAATCACTATATTGTACACCTGAAACTGACATAACACTATATGTTAACTATACTGGAATAAAAATTTAATTTAATTTCAATTAAAATTTGCTTGTTTCATCTAACAGAAATTAATTTCCAAATACATGAGTTTTTTTAATAGTTCTGAAATTGAATTCTAACTTGTGTTGAAATTAGAAAATATGGTTTAAGATGCCCTGACTTTAAAAATAACGTTAAGACTGACCAGTTTTTATAAGTGTTCCATTTGTACTTGAAGAAATGGGAATTCTCCCGGTGTTGATGCATTCATTATATCAACACTGACAATTCTATTATTTAAATCATATATATATATATGTGCTTATTGACTTATCTTTTTGATCTAACAATTATAAGAAGAAATGCTTTAATGACTCCCACTATTTTGATGAATTTGTCCATTCTCTTTGCCTAATAATGCTATAAATTTTTGTCTTTCATGTTTTGAAGCCATGTTACTAACTGCATTCAAGTTTAGAATTAGTATATTTTCCTGGTAAATACAATTCTTGCAACATGTATGATCTTCTTTATCTCTAGCAATGCTTTCTGCCTTAATGTCTATTGGTATTTTAGTAATATAGCCTTATCAGTTTCTTTTGCTATTTGATTGTACATCTTTTTTGACCTTTTTATGTCTCTGTATCTTAAGTATGTTCTTAAAATATTTTTCAAAGTTTATTGTTTTTTAATCCTATCCCTTCTCCTAAGTCTTTGTTGTAATATATTTCAATTCTACTTTGATATTTTTTAACTCCCACAAATTCAACATTGTTTTTTTAGTTTGTATAGTCAATGTTTATTTAGATATACCCACACGCTGCCATTTTCTTCTTCTTTTTTTAAAATCACTTCTTATATCTCAGACCTTACTTCTGGAATAATTTTCTTTCTACTAAAAGTACACTCTAGAATATTCCTAGTAAGGGTCTTTTGTTAGTAAAATCTGTTTTGTTTGCCTGGAAATGTATTTCACTTTCTTCTTGAAAGATAGTTTCTCTAGGTATTAAATTCTGTTTTCTTCTCAGCACTCTGAAGATTTCAGTACGCTGTCTTCTGGTAACTAGTGTTGCTATTGAGAGGTCAGTTGTCATTGTAGCTGCCATTCTGTATGGATAACCTTGTTTCTCGGGCTGCTTTTATGATCTTTTTGAATTTGGTGTTCTTAAGTTTGACTATAACATATCTAAGTATGGATTTATATTTTTACGTTATTGAGGTATAATCGACTACAATAAGTTGTACATATTTAGAGTGTACAATTTTGATGTTGTTTAACATTTGTATTTACCAAGGGAAAGGCAAGGTCAAAGGATGAAAGCCAGTCTAAAGGATAGTTAACAGAGTTTAAGAACCTAGAACCTTAGGTTCAACAGCTGAGTAGAAAGCTTCTGGTGACCTTCTTTTGACATTACTTACCACATAGTGGTAAACTGCAATTACGTTCAACAAAGAACGAACTTTTATAATTCCTGAAACTTTAACTCTATCCATTATAAAAATACAATTTTTATTCATCTTAACTACTTAAATGAAGGCGCTGGCAAAGAGAACTTCTGAAAGATACTCCCGTAACTGCCTATTACTGTCCAACACAAACTCTGCCTAGCCACTGTCTCTTGGATGCCCCCAAACATAACATACTTCTTCCTAATGCCCGACCCTTGCTCTTGTTCTTCTCTAATGTGCACTTTCCCTTTGTTCTCTGCCACTCTAAATCTGGGTCCAACCTCAGGTCTCCCACAAAGCCTTCCTTAGTCTTTCTAGGTCACATCTCTTCTTCTGAGCTCTGTCTACATGACATAACTAATTACATAATCAGATGATCTGGTACACTTGTGTTATTGTTAAACAGCTTTGTGTATTTATATGACTTGTCTCTACAGTCACTAGAAGTGACTGAAGGACAGAGATTCTAGGTCTGGAAGTTATGCTTTCATTTTATCCTCCACAGCACTTACAACATGAAATAGTTCCCTTAGAAGATATTTAACTCTTGTTTAATTGAATGTAATTCAAATCATCCATTGGATAAATAAATGACTTTGAGAGTCAATTAGATGCTACTTCTTCAACATCACAGTTCTAGTTAAAGGAATTATTCAGCTGATGGAAGCTTAGCCTTTTCTGTCCTGCTACTGCATGACTAACTTTCACAAGAAGATACGTTTCCTATCTCTTAAAAGGACCCTATATATGTCACCAGGCTGCCTCTCCACATAACTTTTATGAAAATTTTGGTTAAAATTTGAGATGTTATAGAGGCGCTTGGCTGGCTTGGTTGGGAGAGTGTGTGACTCTTCATCTTTGGGTTGTGAGTTCAAGCCCCATGTTGGTTGCACAGATTACTTTAAAAAAACTGGGGAAGTTATAAAAGAGGATGATCACATATTTAAAATTTTAAACATAGGGCATGTTGATACGGCAGAGACAAACACAGAACTCGAGATTTCCAGGGGTTCAGTTTCAGTGATACCTTTTTCATGCCTGAATAAATTCCCATTCTTTCTCTTAATCTACCGTAAATCTAACATCCTCTAGATGGCAGGAATTTCAGGCTCATGTAAGCATTCTGGAAGGCCTAAATTAGTACATTAGTCTCAGTGTCCTAGAACCTGAGAGGGTTCTACAGGAGGCCAAGTATAAGAATATGGTCAACAGCAACCGGACTGTGTTGAACTAGGGCTCAAATCCCGTTGCTGCTATCTGAGAATGCGAGCTATATTAGCAATTATTTTCATTTCTCTAAGACAGATTTTTGCCACTAATTCTCTTAGTTTTAAAATGAGGACTATTTCCCCAATCTCATTCTCCTCTACTTCATATGCAACCATTCTAACGTGCAGCTTTTTATGTGTGTACTACGCATATCGTTTTGTTTGGACTTCACTTTACATAAATATTATTGCATTGTACATCTCTTTTTCTTTTTTTTACACAGCACTTCACTTTTAAGTGCATCCATTTGCTTTCTTTACATTTAGTTATTGCTTGTAATTACTACTATTTATCAAGCTATACCTTCACCACATTTTATTTATCTACTATCCCAGTGATGGAAATCTCCACCTCCTTGCCCCCAAGTAACACTGCATAAAAAAAAAAATACTATATAGGCAAATCAATACATGTAGATAGATTGAATTTAGCCTTCAGACTGCCAATTTGTTTATAACCTCTAACCTCAACTTGTTTATAATCTCTAAGACAAACCTCTTGCACAATACCTGAAATTTCTTATCTCCTAGTTCCAAAAAATAGAGTAAAAAGAAAACCAACAAAAGTATTTACAGAGTTCTGTCCAGCCGTCCAAGCATGAGAGATGTCATCACATATGACCAAGATGACATTTTTGCAAGAGAAAATTCTTAAACCACTAAGTCAATAACCAAAGTAAGTGTACTTATTCCAGAGAAAGAATGATGGGCGGCGGTGTCAGCTGCACTTTGTTGCATTCTCCCTCTCCAGTCACTAGGTTATTTTACACAGCAAAGAGAGCAGGGGCTGACACAATGGGGCCCCACCTCTGAGTCACAGACATGCCTTTTCCAATCTTAAGTTATCCTACATACAAACTTCCTGTTTAGGAAGTATTGAGGTGAGAAGTAAAGTCAGGAAAGAACATAAGGAAACGGTAAGCTATATGAAAACAAGCTTGTTGTAAAAATGTATTAAAAATCTGATATTAAATTGCTTTACTTCAGAAGCCTTGCTCTTCTGCACTTTAAATGAATCTCCCACTGCTGTTTTGGTTGTTTCCTTGATTTGGGTATCAGTGATCTCCACCAGACCATTTTGGAGGCAAGCCTGGACTGTGGGGCAAGCAATGAGGGGAGTTACGGGAAAGCTATTTCTTTTTTAATTTTTTATTGTTATGTTAATCACCATACATTACATCATTAGTTTTTGATGGGAAAGCTATTTTTTGAGTACCTATAAGAACGCAGCAAGAGTCTCCCAAGTGTAAAGGGAATGACCATACTGATTAAGTAACTCCTTCGAGATCCAAAAGATGTCCCATTTACGGAGGATAAACTGAATCAAACATACTTGCATTCTCCACCAAAACCTTTGGCATGCGCTGGCGGTTCATCAGGAGTGGGAAAGGATCTCGCCCATCGTTCCGTTCATGGACTTCTCGAATTTCCACTGTATCATCCATAAGATAGTAATGAATGATGTAGGTCCGACATTCACCAAACATGCTGTCTGTATCATCCCAGACTGCATAGAATCGAAGAACCTTTGAGGAATCCAAAGTAGTGACTTAAATAAGAATTCTACAAGTGGAGAGATTAACTTAACTACTTAGGCATTCAGATATCAGACAATGATGGAAAGATTAGCTACAAAGACAATGAAGTAATCGCAGATGGTAAAAAAAAAAAATTCATCAAAGATAGAAAAACATACAAAAATTATATACCAGATGTCAACAGCTGTAAAATATTAAATAACAGGCTTATAAGTTTGTATTGAGAAAGCAGAATTCACTTTGATCCAAAATATTAGTCAGTGAAAGAGAAGCCAAATTAAAAGAGCAATGGAAACTATAAGACACTGATGAAAGAAATTGAGGAAGACACAAATAAGTGGAGAGATATTTTGTGCTCACAGTAAAAGAATTAATATTGTTAAAATGTCCACGCTACCCAAAGCAATCTACAGATTTAATGCAATCCCTATCAAGATTCCAATGGCATTTTTCACAGAACTAGAACAAATAATTCTAAAATTTGTATGGAACCACAAAAGACCCTGAATAGCCAAAAAACTCTTGAGAAAGAACAAAGGCAGAGGTACCATGCTCCCTGATTTCAAACTATACTACAACACTATAGTAATCAAAACAGTATGGCACTGGCATAAAAACAGACACATAGATCAACAGAACAGAAATGAGAGCCCAGAAACAAACTCACACTTCTATGGTCAATTAATTTATGAAAAATGAGGCAAGAATATACAATGGGGAAAGAGTCTCTTCAATAAATGGTGCTGGGAAAACTGTGGACAGCTACATGCAAAAGAATGAAACTAGACCACTTTCTCACACCACACACAAAAATAAACTCCAAATAGATTAAAGACCTGAAACATAAAACTCCTAGGAGAAACATAGGCAGTAAGCTTGTTGACATTGATCTGAGCCATGTTTCTTTGGATGTGACTCCAAAGGCAAAGGAAACAAAAGCAAAAATAAACAAATGAGACTACATCAAACTAAAAAGCTTCTATACAATGAAGAAAACTATCAACAAAATGAAAATGCAGCCTATTGAAGGGGAGAAGATATTTACAGATCATATCTGATAAGGAAGGGATTAACATCTAAAATATATAAAGAACTCCTACAACTCAGTAACAAAAAACCACAAATTCTGATTTAAAAAAATTTGGCAGAGGATCTGATTAGATATTTTTCCAAAGAAGACATACAAATGGCCAAGAGATACATGAAAAGATGCTCAACATCATTAATCATCAGAGAAATGCAAACCAAAACACCAATGAGATATCACCTTACACTTGTCAGAATGGCTATCATGAAAAAGACAAGAAATAAGTGTTGGTTGGAGAAAAAGGAACCCTCGTACACTGTTGGTGGGAATGTAAATTGGTGCGACCACTATGGAAAACAGTATGAAGTGCCTCAGAAAATTAAAAATAGAAATACCATATGATCTAGCAATTCCACTACTGGGTAGCCTCCAAAGAAAAAGAAACACTAATTCAAAAAGATATAAGCAACCCCATGTTCACTGTAGCATTATTTACAATAGTCAAGATTTGGAAATAACCTGTCCACCAATGGATGAATGGAGAAAGAAGATGTAGTTTATATATACAATGGAATATTACTCAGCCATATAAAAGAGTGAAATCTTGCCCTTTGCAACAACATGGATGGACTCTGAGGGTATTATGCTGAGTGAAACAAGTCAGAGAGAGAAAGACAAATATTGCATAATGTCACTTATATGTGGAATCTAAAAAACAAAACAAACAAAACCAAACCCAGCTCATAGACATGGAGAACAGATTGGTGGCTGCCAGAGGGTAGGGAGCTTGGGATGCAGGTGGTGGGGGAATGGGTGAAATAGGTGAAGGGGATCAAGAAGCACAAACTTCCAGTTATAAAATAAATAAGTCATGGGAACGTAATGTACAGCATAGGGAATATAGTCAATAATATTATATTAACTTTGTAATATGACAGATGGTAACGACTTATTGTGGTGACAATTCTGCAATGTATTCAATTGTCGAATCACTATGTTGTACACCTGAAGTTAATATAATATTATACATCAATTAGACCTCAATAAACAAAAAAAAAAAGAAAGAAAAAAGAGCATTGTGTTTTATACAGGGGCTCATATGTATTAATAAAGGTATATGTGAACCGTTTATATGTAATTAGTATGGAAAGAATTTTCATTTATTAATGTCTTTTTTTATCCATCGACATACCTCTTCTAGTAACAGTATCAACAACACAATCTTTAAAGACAAAAGAATAACAGATATATGATTGATATAAAGAATGTCCTTAAAAGGCGATGCTAGTGCTAGGCAAATTTTTCTGAACTAAAAGGAATTAACATTTCTGAGAGAACACCAGCAGCAAAGAAGCACTGAGGATGATCTCCCCATCTTCTTTTGTACAGAAAGGAGAAGACCAAATCTGCCCCCACACACCAACTCACAGTGGGGAGGATAGGACGGTTGGAACAGAGCTGGAAAATACCTAGAATATTCTACACTCAAACATTCATATAAAATATAACAAGGAAGCATCTGCAATGAGATTTCTGTGAAATTACTATTTTAACATTAGAAATCTACCTATATGCAATAGATTTGAAATTTCCCAATAAATCACTTAGGGTTTCCCAAAGAAGGCTATGAAATGAACTCCTATTTGGGAAAAGAAGTAGTCGGTTGGAAACGTAAAGTGGGAAGCAGACATAGCTCAGGAATTGCTTTAAGATTGAAAGGTTTGGTGGAACTCCTAAGACTTAACTCCACAACCTCCTCTGGGTATCTTAATACAAAACTTGGGCATTCCTGTACCTCTAACTCTAGATGAAACCAGAAAAATCGCACTGTCTCCAAATGGCTAAATTACAGATGTAATGTTTTAAAACACACATCTACCAGAACAGCTTGCTAATAAACATGCATCACATGTGGAGATGAGCAAATCCACTGAGGTGCTGACGTCACTTACTTGTTTGTCAAAGGTGAGAAACTGCTTCAGTTGGTCAAAGTCCGATGGGGTGACATACTTACGAAGAGGCTGTTTCCGGAGTTCAGTGTAAGGATCAAGAGCCATCTTCTCTGGTGGATTTAATTCAATTCCTTGACTTTCCAAAAATACCTAAATCATGCAAAAGTAATGATCATCTTTCTTGAAGCTTCCAGGAGTATTAACTGATGGTGTAAAGATAAGTGTAATAATAATTTCTATGCCAATGTCCAAATTAACCATTAGCTTGCAGTTTGAAGCACATCTTAGCAACATTAAGCCTCCAATTGACCCAACGCTATAATGCAGAAACAACTGATAATTACTGTAAGTATTCCATATTATAAAATTGCTAGGCAATATGCTGAGCTAACTTGAAGACATGATAGTATGGTAACTGGCTCCATGTATGAATTTAGATCAATGAAATTTAGTTAGGTGCCCAAGACCAGAGTAAGTCTTAGGATTGCTTACATACACACATCTGAAACCCAACCACAGTTTCAAACAATATGTAATTCATATCAGGGATGGGGGCAAGCTACACAATGGCAACAAAGTTAAGCCGAAATCAAATTCCCAACTTTCAACTCACCAAAAACAAGTATCTGATTAAGTCCCCATCTCCACCCCGCTCCAAAAAGGAAAAGAATCACTGGTTATTTTAGACCAGAAAATATTTTAGCAAAATAGGAGAGACAAACCAAGTACTCAAATCTCACCAGATAAAGTTAAGGAAAGCATCTGAACTTGATATGATCTTGTTTAATTTGCTAATTATAAGTAAATACAATATTTTCAGTAACTATATCTTTTAATACAACTTGGCATTTCTTCTTCATAAAAGCACCACAATAAGCTGGTTTTTTTTGTGTTTGTTTGGTTTTTTTTTTGGTAATCAGAAAAGAACAATGTCATGGGATCTGTTTACATTCTAGAACTAGAAATTAATCTGAAATCTGGGTTTCTTTTGGGAATTGTGTGATTTGCTTTTGGACAATTCAATAGAAAATATGCAGGACTCAAAGCCAAAATACCTGGGTTCTAATATTAGCTCTGCTGCTAACTAGCTTGTAATCTTAATACTTAAAGTTTCACTAAGCAGTCTCCAGTATCTTTTAATATTAAAATACTGTGATCTCAATGTCTAGTAAAAGTACTGAGCTGGAGATAATGACTAACAATATTCTCCTCTCCCTTGAGATGATGTATTAGTGTAGCAGGATTATTGATTGAGGTATTTAATGGGGGTTTTACTCCTTTCTGTTGCTTTCAACAGATAACCAGGCCCTTTGTTAACCTTACCTTAGGGATTTTGGCAGGAATGCAGAAGCTTCCTGAAGTTTGACTATTCTTCCTGTCTCTTAGAAAAAGCCTAAACTCTTTGAAGAGATTATTCTAAAGTATCCCAGAAGGAGGGGAGAGAAGGAAATGTCTTTGAAGGCAAGGAGAGAAAAAGGGGGAAATTCTCCCAGACTGGAAAACAGACACAAGTTGATGGGTCTCAGAAGAGCAAGACTCCACATGTGCTCTTACGGATGCTCGGAGCACACGGGCAGCCAGTCGGGCACATCGGTCTCAGGCACGCGGGGTCTCAGTATCTGACCTCGCACCAAAGCATCCAGGAGGTGCCCTTGAGCACTGACAGCCTATGGACCCTGCCTGTATGACCTCGTTAAGCCTGGGTGTGCCTTGTCGTTCTGAGGGCCTGGAATTTTTGGCAAAGCTGAGAGTGAATAGAAACAGCAGCCCAGTTGGATGGGAGTTCAAGTAGGCTTTATTTTTAAAACACAAAACAGTATTTCCTGCACACTTGCATATGCAGAGTAGGATTCACACCTGCTATACTATTGGTCATACTCTAATGAAGATGGTAAGTTCTAGATCTCTGATTTCTGGAGTTAATTTTTTTTACTGTGTTAATTCTGTCTCTAGGACCAATGTTTATTTGGAGCAGTGAGGAGGGGCTCAGAAGGGGTGGTGGTGGTGATATATTTGATTAGAGGTGGCTCCTTGTTCAAGCCCACACCATAAAGACAACTATCTTCTTTATCCACTCGTAGGTCCAGCCCTAATGAAAACCATCAAATTAGATAAGATGTGTATAAATTTTAAACTGTTACAGGAGCCAACCTCTAACAGATCGACTAATGAAAACATAATTTAATCTAGTCATCGGTACCTAAAATATACAACTCTAGTCATTAGTAGTTATCAAAATACAGTTGATCCTATAGTTGCACTTTTGCCTACTTGCAAAAATTTATTAGTAACCTCCAAATCAATAGTCATGGTGCTTCTGTGGTCCTTTGCAGACACACGCAGAGTGGTAAAAATTTCGAGTTGTCTGATAACATACATTCCTAGCTGAGGTCAAATGAGATGACATTCTGCCTTCTTATTTCAGCTTCCATACTGAAAAAGTGTCCATTTAGATGTCTGTTTAGTGCCACTTTTTCACACTTCAGTGCTTTTGTTGCTTTTGCTGTTTAAAATGGCCCCCAACCTTAGTGCTAAAGTGCTGTTGTGTGTTCTACGTGCAAGGAGGCTGGGGTAAGTACTTAGTGTCACTAAACTGCACATCGAAGAAAAGTGGTTAAGGTGGTCACGTTTATGTTACGTACTTTTTATCTCACACACACACACACACACACACACACACACGGCTGTGACGTGCCTTCAGGAGAAAGTACATGTGTGAGATTCGCTTCCTTCAGGCATGAGCTCCAGTGCTCCTGGCCGTAAGTTCGAGGTTCATGAATCAACAAGGTATTTTCAACATGGCATCTTTAAACAGAAACACACATAAAACAAGCTTATAGAAACCTAACCTCGTATTTCTCCCAGGAGCGATGGATCCATAGTTGCTCATTAAGGGCTTGTGGTGACTTCCTAGCACAGAACTACCGTCAACAATGAGAGTTGGGGCCCCTGGGTGGCTCAGTAGGTTAAGCGTCTCTCTTTTTTTTTTTTTTTTAAAGATTTTATTTATTTATCTATTAGAGAGTGAGCAAGAGAGAAACAGCATGAGAGAGGAGAGGGTCAGAGGGAGAAGCAGGCTCCCTGCCGAGCAGGGAGCCCGATGCGGGACTCGATCCCAGGACTCCAGGATCATGACCCGAGCCGAAGGCAGTCGCTTAACCAACTGAGCCACCCAGGCGCCCTAAGCATCTCTCTTTATGAGAGGTGACTCACCGCTCAGGAATGAACTGCTGATATTCAGATTGTTCATAAAGAGACAACTGTAAAAATAGTCACAATACCTGAAATTTACATAACATCTTATAATTCCTCATTATAGGTACAGTTCTGAAACTGCCTGTGATAAAAAGGACCTCGAAAACCTAAAAAATGAGAGATCAAAACCTGTTTTCCCAAAGACGCTCTAGCACCTGTACCTTCTGTACTGTCTTTCGCTGTTGCTTTGGGATGGCACGGATGCCAGGGCTCCTTCCTTCACTCCCTTGGGGTCTCAGTTCAGGGCGTGGCCTCCCCTGGCCAGCCTTTATACACCCTCCCCACCCTCCCCTCCCTCTTCCTCAGCTCTAGTCCCTTCCGCAGCTCTGAGCAGCATCTGACAGGTTATATATTGTGTGCTTACTTTTGTCTCCTCCGGCCAGAATGTAACAGCCTTTATGAGGACAAGTCTATATATGTGGCACCTAGAGCCACAAGCCTTGGCACAGAGCAGGCACTCAATAAGTATTTGCTAAATAAGTTACCAAACGCCAAACATAAATGAGTGGATTCACAGGAACTCAGTGCGTGGTAAAGATTAATCATGTGGCGTTTGGTAACATAGGATTAAAGGCACAAAAGAATTCAGAAACTGTATCTTTGCTTCTAGAAATGTTTTAAACTAAGAGAAATTTAGAACTGACTTCCTAATACCTACATTTTGTGCTCAAGAAAGGACTCTGTGTCTATATACGTACACATAACTTTAAGAAAAGTTGTCAAAAATCCATACGTATGAAATAGAGGAAATGGAGGATTCTTCTCGATATAAACAAGCATTCTCCTTTAAAAATTGTTCTTATTTCAGGAATTCTTTAGATAGCCAGTTTCTCCAGAATATAGCAAGTATGATTTACAGGAAAAATATGAACTGCACAAAAAACGTGAGGCTCATATCTGCTAATAAAGGTAATACTACTTTTGTAACTCAAACTTCAGATAAACCGTCCAATGCCTCTTTCATATTTCTATCCCATGAAGGATGCTACCACTTGAACCGGCATGGGAACTGGTTCCTTTTTTTTTTTTTTTTTTAAAGATTTTATTTATTTATTTGA